CCTTTGTCAGACAAGGCCCTGTGCTGAATGCCTTCAGCCTGAACACTGTGTTTGTGTCCTATGACTATGTAAAAAGGTACCTCAGAATTGAGTGCCTTAGACACACACATTTATTTTCTCATGCCTCTGAGAGGCATGTTGATGAGGTGATGTGGTGTCTAGGCTTGGTTCCTTCAGATGGCTGTGAGGTCTCGGCTCCACACACCTCTCCCTAGCTCCTGATGGTGGCTGTCGATCTCTGGTGATCCTTGTGAGTGGCATTGTCTGCATGGCTTCACTCTGTCTTTTCTCTCCAGTATCCAGACATGTCTCTATATCCAAGTTTGCATTTTTCAGAAAAGAAAAAAAAAATACCATTTGATTTTATTTATGTACATACCCACCGAGACCAGAAGAGGGTGCCAGATCCCCTGGAGCTGAAAATGCAGGTGGTTGGGAGCTGTCCAGTATGGATGCTGGGACTAAAGTACAGTCCTGTGCAAAAGCAACGAGCACTCTTAACCTCAGAGCCATCTCTATTTCCCTAGTTCCCATTTTTATAAGGATTCCTATGTTCCCTGTTGGGACACACCTATTCCAGGATGACCTTACTTTAATTAATTCCAAACGCAGTCATATTCTATGGTACTGTAGGACATTCAGAGTAAGTGCAAAATTTCAACCTATCCCACCCATGAGTCCATAACAATAAAAATTTACTGTAGTGGTTTGAATGAAAAAGGCCCCCAAAGGCTCATCTGTCTGAAAGCTTGGTCTCTAGTTGGTGGAATTATTTGAGGAAAGATTAGGAGGTGTGGCCTTGCTGGAAGAGGTGTGTCACTGGGGGTGGACTTGGAGGGCTCCAAAAGCCCAAACCAGGCCATCTTCATCTCAGCATCCTAGTTGGTGTGAGCTGCTATTGCTCCTACATCATGCCTGCCTACCTCCTGCCATGCTTCCTGACGTGATGGTCAGCGACTCGCCCTCTGAAAATATAAGCAAGCCCCCAATTAAATACTTTCTTCTATAAGTTGCCTTGGTCATGGTGTCTCTTCACAGCAATAGATCAGTAACTAAGACATCTACTTTTCCACTTTCTTTTAAGAGTGTGATTTTGCTGAAGGCCACGATTCAGTCCTGCAGTTCTGCCTTGCTGTCCATTAATCTCTCCTGCTCTTAATTGCTCCAGCACAACTGCCATTCTGTACCCAAATATGGCTATCTGTGGGTAGAAAGCCACCAGAAACAGTCTGAGGCAAGCATTGGTTAAAGAATTTGCATTCTGGCACTGCTGATTCCTTCTTCCATGGGGCACACCCTTTGTTCTTCTAAAGCTACAGATAAAAGATTCCAGGCTGGGCACCTTGCAGGGTGTCCATGCCACCTGCCAAATATCTCCCGGAGTGAAGGGTGGAAGGGAACACGCTAAAGGTCCTATTTGAATAAGTTTGCATTCTGAATAAAAGTGGGCTTTTTTTCCTTGCCCTTTACTTGCTGTCATTTTTTGATGTGAATAAAGAAGTTGTCCTTCCTGCATGGCAAGAAGCGTTCCTTCAGAATACAGTCTCTGAAAATATAACACCTAGCTAGTCATAAATCCTCAGCGAGGTGATAAACACAAAGTATCCTCCTGCATTTCAAGACCTGGAAGGGTTGAATCTTCCCCAGACAACAAGTGTTACTCCAGCATTCCTGTAAATGAGTCTGAATAATAAGAGCCCCAGCAATGGGCCAGGCTGCTCAGGTTTCAGCGAAGAGGGAGGTGACTCAGCTTCCATAAGTAATTTCCAGACAGAATTTATGGGCAGAAAATGTGAATTGGTCTAAAATGCCTGAACCCGTGAAACTCTGTCTGGAAGACTGAAATAATTCAATCTACATCCAGGACAGAGATAGAGATTGGTGGAAGACATATACATATACAAGTACATCATATACATATATGTATACATATACGTATAGATATATACATATACATTGTGTATATATGTATATCTTCCACCAATCTATGTGCATATGTATATATGTGTATATATATGAAAATTTAATTTATATCTGAATCTCTGCTGGTGTCTGAAGGGCTCTCTGCGGGGGTGAATGACAGACAAGTGGTCACAGGGTCTGACCTTTCTTAAAGACAGGAACTATAGTGGAGGTGTGTGACTGCAAGCAGACAAGAAGTCACGAGACCAGTGACAACTGACAGGCAATGCTTGAGTGACCCAGGGGCATTTCTGACCTCTTGCAATCTTGAGAGTCTCGTCTGTTGATATCTGCATGCTGAAGACTTGCATTGACCCAAATGTGGCATCGTGGAGTAAGTCTGGGCCAGCAATACAAAAGTCTTTCCCTAGCCCGGCTCTGCCCTGAAGTATCCACTTCTAGAAATAACGAAGGACAATAGCCAAAACCTGTTGGAGTAGCCACAGGAAGTGAGTCACATTGCTTATCTTCACAGGAAAAGTATACGATGTGCCACTCCACAGACAACCCAAAGACAAAGGCTTAGACATGTGTTTTGGGGTATGAGAAGGGATCAGGCAGTTCTGGAAAGTATAGATGTGTTTGGATAAGCAGACTCACTTCCTCTTGATAAAAATTATGGTAACATACACAAAATAGGAGAGTAACCTTTAAATGTAGCTTTTTTTCTAATTTTTAAGCCATTGGAAAGAAATTTAGCCATTTTAAGTCACTGTTCGGTGGCTTATAATATATTCAACAATACTGGGCAGCCATCACTGCAATTCATTTCCAGATTTTTTCATCATTACAAGTAGAAACTCCCCACTTCTTCAATCTAAAAAAGAGAATGACTGAGCTAGACAGATGGCTCAGTGGTAAAGAGCCTGACCTGTTCTTACAGAGGACAGAGTGTGGTTCCCAGGCCCTGTGAGGGAATGAGAATTCCTGCAAAGACTGATTGGTTAGTGGGTTAAACTGCAGTGATACAGAAAGGTTGGGATATTGCGGGATGCTAACTACCTTAGCTTGAGCTACCTTTAACTCCAGTCCTTGCCTACTTCTGTGTCAGAACTAACATCCTGTGGGTAGTAGATAAAAACCTTTTGAAATAAACCTATTCACTTTACAGACCCCTGGCTTCCACTAACCCAAAAGCTAAGAATGATAGCATCTGAGGGCTATAGACAAGCTTCCCCCATCTTGTTCCCGCCTCTCTGATGCACCCACCCAGGTATTTTAAACTTCCCTTGATTTATGACTTTCTTTCTTCAGTAAAACTATAAAATTTCATGAAATGGCTTCCACATCAGAACATAGAATTTGAGGTAACCTAAGCCTGTGTTCCTGGGTCACAGTCACTCAGAATGGCCCCAGGATAAACTATCTCTTATTCTCCTTTGAAGGTGAGAGCTGAGGTTTTTGAGTCAACACATGTCAGGCAGCTCACATGGAATCCAACCCCCTCTTCTGGTCTCTACAGGCACCTGTATTCATATGCACAAACTGACATACTTGCACAAATAAAAATAACAGTGCAATCTTGTTTGAAAATAATACATACTAAAATTGGTTTATCCTCTCTGTTCTGACTCTAAATCAGCCTTCTGGTGCCTTCTACCTGGGTCAACGATGCTGAGAAGAGGTAGTGAGCTAAGATTCCATGGTCTGAGTGAGACCAAGGCCCCCGACTCCCGTACCTTGGTAGAGAAGCACATTCAGTGCCTCCATGACTATTTCTCTAGGACTGCTGCCTCCTCCACATGGCCTGCCTGCGGTGGGTAGAGGTGAGCACTCAGTTCATTGTAACAGTGCCATTAACTGTATGATCAGAGTGAAATGGACCAGTCGGCCTCCACTCTTAGGGTTAATAGCAGTGGTCGTGAGATAAACAAATACTGTGAAGGCTGAAAAATGAATTTCCCCTCTTGGCCATCCATCTAGATTATGCTTTTCCAATGGCTTTGTTTATTTAGGAGGCAGCAATAAATCTCAGGAATTAGCAGGGACAGCTCCAGAGGGACCGGCACCATGGCCAACCCCCACCATGGGAACAGCCAACACTGCTCTGCCTCTGGAATGAGGGGAAGGGTCATGAGAATGAGTCTTTCCATCATTTGGGTCTCCTTCCAGAACACAGATCGGCTGAGACGAGACGCCCGTTCTGGTCTGAGGATGTGGTCTAGACTGACGGTGTATTTCAGTCGTGGAGTGCTAGTCCAGGACCCTGGGTTCCATCCAAGGCTCCATAAAAGAAGTCAGATCAGTCCTGTCTGCCTTAGTGGCACTTGGCCATCTTATCACCAGCGAGTGTCCAAAATGACTCGGCGTGGTCACCATTAGGTAACTAACGTGACCGGATGGTACTGACTTGTCTTTGGTGGCTCCTCAGCCATAGTGCAGGCCTATGTCACTCATAAATTGAGTGGCCCAGGTTTGGGAATTACAGTCTGTCTTCCTGGTGGGGGAAATCAAGGCTTGTCGTATTAAGTGACTAAAAGGACCAGTTAGCTAACTAGCCCCAGTTCGAGCTGTTAGCTGATAGATTGGTATTTCCTATCTCAGCCGGAAGGTGATAGACCAAAACTTGAGGTTGATTCCTGTGAGAATCAGCAGGGGCAGCGATCAGAGCTTGAGACTCCAGAAACCGGAAACTGTGCTCTGAATACTCTGAATAATTCCAGATTTGGAAGCAGCTTTGAGGATTTTTTTTTCCAGCAGTGAACATCAGGTTTGTGTGCCGGTTCAAGGTCAGATGCCTAGACCCTCCTCTGACATCTTAGTCAGAATTTCTTGGAGGTGGAATCTGTTCTTGTGTTCATCTGGGACTGAGAAACAGTGGTCATGTTGATGTAGACTCCACCAGAGGACAGCTACAAACGATTGAGGCAGGCCCCCTTTGTTCTAGGACTGCCCTGTTAATGACTTAAAATGGCATCAGCATTTTCTTTTTCTTTTCTTTTCTTTCTTTTTTTTTTTCAAGATTTATTTATTTATTATGTATACAGTGTTCTGCATGTATGTCTGCCTGCAGCCCAGAAGAGGGCACCGGATCTCATTACAGATGGTTGTGAGCCACCACGTGGTTGCTGGGAATTGAACTCAGGACCTCTGGAAGAGCAGCCAGTGCTCTTAACCTCTGAGCCATCTCTCCAGCTCGGCATCAGCATTTTCAACAACAGAATCGAACTAGAGCCACATTTGAGTCTGAGGTCATCTGATATTCCCAAGCCCTTTTCTCTTTAGTTACCCATATTTACTCCTGAGTCTCTCAGCATCCATCGAAGTACTGTAGGGACAAGACATGAAAAACTGGAAGCTGAAACAATGCCTGGTTCATTTGCCCTGTCCTCTTCCCCAAAGGCTAATTTTTGTTCAGTCATTGGCACCCACGGATGCTGTCAGCAGTCACAAGGAGACCTCGCTGTAGTACACAGTCCAGATTTCACTTCACTCAGCTGCTCAATGAGCAAATCATTCAAAAATATTTAAGTGCTACAAACCTAATAGGCAAAAATATAAGTCAGACACGGGGTAAAACAGACATGTGCCATAGGAGAGACGCTGTACAAGTGCAAAGAAGCCAAATGACGTTTCACTGGGCCTGGGCTGAGAACAGGGAGGTCTCGCTGGAAAAGCTAGCGCTTGAGCTGCACCTTCAAGTGCCATCTGCATAGAGATGGACTGAAGCAGTCACCTCATACACAGAAAGCCAGGAATGGTGATAAGCCATCCATGCATACAGGGTTGTAGGGTTCATACACGTAGTGTGTGGCTGAAAATGGGCATTTGGCTGAGTACATGCTGGGCCTCTGAGCTAAAGAATGTGGGTTTTATTTTCAAGAAATGCAAGTCAAGCTGAGGGATGGAGACATGTGCTTGTGATCCTAGTATTAGGGAGGCAGAGGCCAGAGGAGCAGTTAAAGACCAGCTTCAGCTACATGTATTAAGTGAGCTTGAGGAGAGAGGGAGAGAGAGAGAGAGAGAGAGAGAGAGAGAGAGAGAGAGAGAGAGAGAGAGAGAGAAAGAGAGAGAGAGAGAGCGAGCCATTAAGGGTCTTGGAACACAGGAAAACCCATCATGTCTGCGACACTGAAGCCAGGCTAGATTGGAGCCAAGTGCTCTTGTCAGAAACTAGGAGATAATAAAATACTTGAATTCTACTAATAAAAGATGGGAAACCTGATTTAGGTCCCTGTGGCTGCTGTCACAAACTTGGTGGCCTAAAATAATATACATGGGCTCCCTTGCACTCTTCTAGTTCGGGAGGCCAAGTGTCCAAACGAGTTTCACCGGGCTAAAACCAAAGAACTTGTGTTCTCGTCTTTCCCAGCTCTTAGGTTTACATTCCCTGCTTTCCCAGTGATAGGAATTCCCACCGCCCCCACGGTTGCGCATGCCCGGCGGGACACTTAGTCATTTCTGGGTCATACATCCTGCGTGACCCATGACCCCGTGGCTGCGTGGTTGCGTAAAGCACGCGGCGTAACCACAGTGATCCATGCACATGCGTGGAGTTGCCACGTGGGCCTGTGTGAGCAGGTGTGGCTTGGCCTTTAAAAAATCCGGCCCCCATGTTCCCCGGCCCCCTTCACACGCGTGTCCTTTCAGCAGGCGTGATCACATCCGTCCTTCCCTCCTCATCTTAATAAAACTCTTGTCAGTGGATTCTGTCGTGTTCCGTGACTTTTCCTCCCAGGATAAGAGCGCCGCTAAAAACCAACACCTAGGTGCTTGGCCCTTTCCAAAATAGGCAGATTCTGGTTTTGTAACTAAAGAGGAGAGTAGTATGGAAGGAGGACTCCTTTGATTGGGGAAGATCGAGTCTCTAAGGTTTCCATGTGGTTAGAGACCGGTGGGGTTGGGCACTGTGCTGGCGAGCCAGGACTCGGAGCTTGCAAGCAGCAGAGAAGGGGAGGCCAACATCTAAGCAGGAAGAGCCATAGAGGGGAAAGGAATCCTTTCCTCTCAGATGCATTTTATCCTGTCAGGCAATTCCACGGCTACCATTTGACTCTTCTGCATGTGACTTGAAACGCCCTGAGTTTACCTCCGAGCAGGGGCTGGGAGGAAACCTCCTTTTACATAACCACGACCCTTCTTCAGTCGCTCGGAATTTGCACTTCAAAGGTCTCTCTGTTTCTGCATTCATAGAGACCTACCTTGCAGCTGGCTCTAACAAGATGTGGCAAAGCTTTGCTGCGGCGCTTATCAGTCTTGGCAGTGCTGGGAGTCTGTAGGAGACTGTGAATCGGTTCCCTTGGGAAGATCTGTGAGCATTCTGCTTACAGGAAAAGGGCAAAGGATGGATGCTGGCAGCCTTCAGCCTGGGACCAGACCAAAGATCTTTGTCCCAGCCAGAAGAGTAACAGCCCTCTCTACCCCCTCCCTGCCCCCACCCTCACCCCACTCCCCGCGCCCCGGCCCCAGATCATCCTGGAACCTCCTTCTCATTTCTCACATTAGCAGGCTTGGGTGAGCCCAGGGTTCAGACAGAGCTTCAAAAAGGCCCCCTTCCCCTCCCCCATGCCCACCCCTGAAAGGGCCTGTGAGCAGACAGCAGGGAGCCTGTATGTAAGCCTGGTGATAGAAGGTCAGATCCTCCTGGGGCTGTGAATTCTGCAAAGTAACCGAGGGAAGATCTTCTCTGGGCCTCTGAGGGACTGGACTTTCCAAATCCAGCCTTCTGACCCTGAACAGAGCTCTTTGGAGATCAAAGATAAACACCAGTGGCCTCTTCTTAACGTGTCCTTTGGTTTACAGGAATGCCATTACAAGCTGAATAATGGCACCCAATAATCTCTGGTAGTCAAAATACTATCTTGTTTGAAAAAAGGAGGCAGTGAAGGTACTAGGTAGATGTCAGACCCTTGAGATAGGGAGATTATCCTAGATTATCCAGGTAGCCCTAAATGCCCTCAGAAACCAGAAACCTCCTTTTAAAGAGAGAAGTAAATCTCAAATGTACACACACCCCCACACACACACACAGAGTGGGGCGGGCAGGGTTATGTAAAACAGAACAATTAAATGATTCTAAGATGTGGGCAGTAAAGCTTGGGTTGATGTAGTTATCAGCCAAGGAATGTTGCAGCCACCGGAAGCTGGAAGAGGGACATCACAGCCCCCTGGAAACGGGTTTCACCTCTGTGGTGCTGATTGCAGACTTGAGGCCACCAGAACTGTGAGAGATCAAATTTCTGTTCCTGTCAACTTCCAAGATTGTAGGAACAGTGGATTATGGTCACGAGAAGTCAATAGAAGAAGCAAGGCCTCTTTGGGCCTGTGCACACCAGAGAGACAATCAAGAAGATATCTATGACAGCTCACTTTGTCTAGAAAAGAAGAATCTCTGCACCACACAAAGGATCACACAAACAGACTGAAAGGAACTCCGCAAGGCGATTTCTCTCTTTGCAAAAGTGTGCTCCAGAAACCAAACTGGGCTAGTGAACACACTTGCTGAAACGGTCTCTTTCATCCCTGAGCTGTGGGTGGCACTTGGTCTCCTCTGGTTGGTGTCAACTGGACTTCATCATCTTATGTGACTGGCTAATCTGTACAAAGAGAAAATGGGAGGTTGGGATAGTTTGAGTGAAAATAGTCCCCAAAGGCTAACACACTTACACACTCTACACAACTGCATCTTGGCAGCCTAGAAGGTTCTGTCTCTAGCACCCCAAAGTAGGAACAGCACATAGAAAAGACCTGCATGGCCCTGAGCATGCCGCTCACTCCACATTCGAGCAAGTCTCTCAGTCTAAGGGGAGCAGGCACCAAATTCCATTTCCCTTTGTTCCTGTGTAGCTAGAACTACACGGAGCCTAAGCACAGTTAGCACTCGATGTTTGCTGAATGATAAAATTCCAGGGTCAGTATTGTGCGTCTCTGCCTGCTTCATAGGGCTGTCGACTTTGGGGGCCTAAACTGGGGATGTAAAAGTTGAAGCACGAGGAAGAAAGAATTAGTAACTGAGATATATGTGTCTCTGGACTGTGTGAAATGGGCACATGGCAGCTGAGCAGCAAGAAGCCAGAGCTCCTATGCACATCCCGGGAGAAATCATGTTGTTCAGGGAACCAGGTAGAATTGGAATCCAGAGGGTGTGGGAGGTGTTTGTGTGTGTGTGTGCGTGTGTGTGTGCGCGTGCGTGCGTGCGTGCGTGCGTGCGTGCGTGCGTGTGTGTGTGTGTGTGTGTGTGTGAACACATGCGTACATACATTTTGCATTCAAATACAGAGCTGGGGTTCAGAGCCTGAGCTCTGACAGCCCGAACAAGGTAGGCCCAGTGACACGTCCACAAGAGGCCAATGCAAGCAGCAAGCAGCAGTCATAAGGCAGAGAGAGGAAATTTATTCCATGTGGCTACATTAGGAAGAGGAACAAGGGGGTTGGAGAGATGGCTCAGAGGTTAAGAGCACCGACTGCTCTTCCAGAGGTCCTGAGTTCAATTCCCAGCAACCACATGGTGGCTCACAACCATCTGTAATGAGATCTGGCGCCCTCTTCTGTATACATAATAAATAAATAAATCTTAAAAAAAAAAAAAAAGGAAGAGGAACAAATAAAAAGGCCCAGTGACCCCCCCAAGTCCATCTGACATGAAGTTCAGGTTTATCTTGCCAATGCAGATGAATCTGGTGCCTGCTCCCCTTGGACTGAGAGACTTGCTCGAATGTGGAGTGAGCGGCATGCTCAGGGCCATACAGGTCTTTTCTATGTGCTGTCCCTACTTTGGGGTGCTAGAAACAGAACCTTCTAGGCTGCCAAAATGCAATTGTATAGCTCTCGACTGGAAGGGATTCAGAGGTAGTTTATTCTGAAGCTAAATTTGAGTGACCGTGGCTGGGAAACATGGGCTTAGGTTACCCCAAACCCATGTTCCAATTTGGAAGCCAATGCATGGAGCTTTTATGGTAACAGAACAAAGGAAGTCATAAATAGATACATTTTTAAAAATACATTGGTAGAAACATCAGAGGCAGGTTAGCCAGGTGAGGGAATCTCAACTATAGGCCTTAGATGTTATCTGGTAGCATTTTTAGTTCTTTAATTGGTGGAAAATAGAGTTTTGTTAAGTAATACATCCAAAAGGTTCTTCTCTGTAGTCAGGATGTTAGGTCTGACACAGAGATAGACAAGGAATGACTCCTTAGGGGGCTAACAATGGCCCAAGAGACGTTGTAAGTGGGCTCTAGGTCCATGACATTCCAAACTCTCCATGGAGTCCTTGGAGTTTTAACAGCCTTTGTAGCTTCATTTCAGGGATTCACGTTGAAATGCACAGGGCAGGAGGGATGCCTATGGAGGCGGTCCTGGTTAAGGGGTGGGTCAGCCATCCTTAAAACATCATTGTCTCAACTCTCGGCTCCTGGTGTGTCCTAAAAGTTGTCATGAAATCTCCTTCTAGGAGACAAGCCCCTCTTGCTAACAATATGTTTCAGTCTTTGCCTTCACCAACATGGAACTCCTGAAGAAATTCAAATTCCCTGGGCTCCATTGTCTCAGAAGTCTAATAGCTAAAGAGGAAGGCACAGTGTCTCTCTTTAGAATACCTTGCTGGGGCTGGAGAGAGGGTCCAATGGTTTGAAGCAGGGGCTATTCCTGTGAAGGACTCAGGTTCCCAGAACCCACATGGCGGCTCCCAACTGACCGTGACTCCAGTTCCAGGGGATCTGGTATCTTCTGACATCTTCAGGCACCAGGCACACACATGGTGCACATACAGACATGCAGGCAAAATACTGATATACATGAAATAAAGCATAGTTACCTTTAACACACATTTCTTTGTTCTTGCCAGGACAGTTATACGATGAACTGTAAGGTTGTGAGACAGGAGGCAGAGAAGTTAAGCAAGGCAGGACAGAAAGGGGAATTTGGGGGGGCATGAGGAGCCCCTCATCCTGGAGTCTTTCTTATTAAAGCCTTTCACCACGTGAGAAGCAAGAATTCCAGCACAATCCACATTTCCTGTGAAGGCTGGCAACATGAAGTTGGTAGTCCTCTCCTGTATACAGAGTTGCTGTTAAAGTGACAGTGACCCAGGGTTAAGGTCTGGATGTGGGACCTTGTGTGGGGCCCAATTCTCCTCCAAGAAATTACCCAAAACCACAAACAAGAGTGTTATCTTTGCAGTAGAGATACCCTACCTTCCTGCATTCCAGAGGTCTTATCAGTCAGTTGTAATCCTGTTTGGTACCTCCCACCCAAGCTCCCAGTGATCTCATTTAGATTTCTTAACTGAAAGCCCATCAAAGTCCTCTATATAACTATTGAGAAGAATAAGGAGGAGCAAGGGAGGGAGGGAGGGAGGGAGGGAGGGAGGGAGGAAGAAGGAGAAGGGGGAGAACACAGTGAAGAATTGGATCCGGGATACATGGTTTGAAATAGAAAAGGAGTTTAGTATGAAAGGAAAGAAACTTCTAAGAGTAGGAGCAGGCTAGTGAGCTAAGTGAAAAGCACTGGCCCAGGACATTTGCATAGCACCTGCCTCCGCCATGTTTGTGCCCGGCAGGCTTTTCTAGACCACACCCCTTTGTTGTGTACAGCCCAGGTAGGAAAGAGGGTCTAGTCTTTCTCTGCCAACTGGTTTCATTTACATGTTAATCTTGACACAACTTCCTCCAGTCTCCATTCTCCAGCCACAGTAAGAGACTCTTTTGCTCTTCATGAGATCCTGCAGACTATATCTGAGTTTGTGCTAATAAGGAAACTCAGTGTGGGCTGACCATGACAAAGATCCCCAGTAAATTATTACTGGGTTTGAACACCCAATCTTACCTACTAACCTCTAAGAAGGGGTCTGGGACTGGAGACGAAACTTCAGTTATCTGTCCAATCATTTAATTTGTCATACCTGTAAAAGAAAAACTATGAACACCAAAGCGCAGGCAAACTTCCTGGATGGTGAATACACTGGCATGCCAGGAGAGTTGGTGTGCCCTATAATCAAGAGTTTGGGGGCAAAACCCCCATTTCTAGAAAGGACTAGGCTTAGTCATTGGTCTCAATGTGTCAAATAAAGAGTCTAGTAATAGCAAACAGCAGAGAAAGGAGATTCAATCAATGTGGCCACATTGGGAAGAGCCAACAAAGGAGTCAGTGACCCCCAAGTCTATCTTCATGATACTGACATAAACATTAGGTTAAACAGAAGAAAAATGCCAACAAAGGGAGAGAAATGTGTATGGTCAAGCAGTGCTGGTCAAGGTAATCTTTGTCTCAGCCTTGGTTCTGCAAGGCAGGGTGAAGAAGTCCTTAATGATCAAGGGAACAAGCTGAATCTGGTGTGGGAGGAGCTATCCCTTGTCATCATAGATAATTGCCCACATCTGACAAGTGTCTGTCCTGCCAAGGCATTGCAGCCCATGGAATCCAAGGCAACCAACCATGCTGCAAGCCACAGGAAAACATAATGGAATTCAGGTACTATCACAAAAGCTACTACTACTTGGAAAAGTCAAGGATTTCTCCAAAGGTCAAGCCATGGCTTAAGAAGTCTTGGTGATTTTATATATATATAAATTAGCTGGTTCCTAAAATGATTTTCTTGTGTGCTTCCAAGAACTCCTACGAGTGTATTTATCTAAAATGCCTATCAAGCGTCCAAGGCCAAACAAAACAACACCTGTCTCCTAGGTCAGGTGGATCGCTTTATTTCTTGTGCAATTTAGGGTGAGACCCTCCTTTCTTATACAACCTTACTAATAGACCCCTAACTTCTTACCTAACCACTTCTCGGAATGTAGACTAAGCACATAGACTCCCTTTTTCATATACTAAACGGTCATTAGCACTCAGTTGACCTCCTCTTTTACCCCTCCCATTTTGGGTTGTAAAAGAAAGCCTGGTGGTCATTGCCTGAGGAAAATTCTACCTACCTTTATGACCCCGAAGAATTCAAGCCTAGTGACCTTGATAGACCATGGGATGGCTATTGTGTGGGTTTGTAAATGGGTTCCTGGGAGACTTAGGAGGTACTAGACAACTCAGAGAACTTAGAGATGGAGAATGGAGAGGGATAAGGAGGATAAGGATAACACTAGAGAGAACGTGCTTAGGAGATGGAAGATGAGGAAGAGTCAGATGGGGAAGTACTAGCTGGGTAAGAACGAGATGAAAAGGACCTAGATGAGGCAGAATTAAGACAAGAAAATTAAGATAGAATTTAGAGGGAGCAGTAGATGAATATAGAGAGAAATCAGGCAAGAAAGGAGCTAAAAGAGAATAGGAACTTGTAGAGAGAGAACTGGCACAGAATAATAAAGTGTATGAACTAAGGAGTTTTGTGTACGTAGATTGGTTTCTTTTCACCAAAGATTAATTATCAGCTGGTTGTAGATTCTTTCCAGATCCTGGGAGGGGACTCTCTGGATCCCCATAGTCCTTGATACAACTACAGATTTATCTCTAAACCTTCAGACTATATTAGGTAGTAGCAAGATTGTGTAGAGTTGAGCCCAGGTCTGACACAAAGTAAAGGGGACAGTTGTGCTTTGAATGTGAAATGTGCCCCCTTAGGTTCCTGTGTTTGATACCTGGCCCTCAGGTGGGGGGTACTGTTTGGGCAGGCTGTGGAACCTTTAGGAGGTAGAGCCTGGCTGGAGGCAGGGGGTCACTGAGGTAGGCCTTGAAGTTATATACAGCCCACCCTCATCCCCTGTTTGCTTTCTGTCACTGGTTGTCCAAGCCATGTGACCAGTCAGCCTCCTGCCCCTGCCCACACGCTTGCCTTGCCAAGAGGAAACATATCCCCACCGCCTATATAAGCCATCATAAGCCCATCCTTTCCTCCTTAACTTGCTTCTCGTTGGCCATTTCATCACAGCAATGGGAAGAGTAACTGTTACTGTCGACCTCACACACACTAGAGTCACCTGGGAAGAGGGAACATCAATTAAAGAATTGCCTCCACCAGATTGGCCTGTGGATTATGCCCATGGAGGCATTTTCTTGATTACTGATTTATGTGAAGGGTCCAGTCCACTATGGGCAATGCCACTCCTGGGCAGATGGTCCTAGGTTGCAGAAGAAAGCAAGCCAAGCAAGACATAACAAGCAAACGAGTGAGCATAGTTCTTCTATGGCCTCTGCTTCGGTTCTCCATCCAGTTCCTCCTTTAATTTCTGCCCTGACTTCCCTCAATGATGGGCTGTGAGATAGTATAAGCCAAATGAGCCTTTTCCTTCCCAGGTTGTGTGGTGACATTGTGTCCCCAAAATATTGTGCACCCTAATAAACTTATCTGGGGTCAGAGAACAAAACAGCCACTAGATACAGAGGCTAGAAAATGGTGGCACTCACACCTTTAATCCTATCACTTGGGAGGCAGAGATCCATCCAGATCTCTGTGAGTTTAAAGCCACACTGGAAACAGCCAGGCATGGTGACTCATGCCTTTAATCCCAGAAAGCAGAAAGGTATATAAGGCGTGAGGACCAGGAACTAGAGCTGGTTAAACTTTCAGGCTTTCGAGAAGCAGTCCAGCTGAGATTCATTCTGGATGAGGACTCAGAGGCTTCCAGTCTGAGGAAACAGGATCAGCTGAGGAACTGGCGAGGTGAGTTGGCTGTGGCTTGTTCTGCTTCTCTGATCTTCCAGTGTTCACCCCAATAACTGGCTCCAGGTTTGTTTTTATTAATAAGACCCTTTAATATTCCTGCTGCAAGGTTGTTTTTCATCAAAATGTTTTCTCACAGCAACAGAAAGCAAACGAAGGCAGAAACTAATACAGCAATATACCCAAAAGAACAGGTTTTTGTGATGCTTTCAGTTACCTCGAGGGTGGAAGTGAAGAATCTGTGCTCTTCAGCAAAGGCAATTTCTTTTCTTTCCCTTGTTTTTTTTTTTTTTTTTGTTTTGTTTTGTTTTTTGTTTTGTTTTGTTTTGTTTGAGACAGGGTTTCTCTGTGTAGCTTTGGAGCCTGTCCTGGATCTGTTCTGTAGACCAGGCTGGCCTCGAACTCACAGAGATCCACTTGCCTCTGCCTCCCGAGAGCTGGGATTAAAGACGTGTGCCACCACTCCCCAGCCAGCAAAGGCAATTTCTAATTGCAATACTCAGACTCCACAGACACCAGTGTTCCTATTACCAATGGTCAGAGTCTAGACTGAGTGTTCCCAGTTGTTGGCCTCTTATTCCAAGAATTGAAATAAAAGCTGTCATGGATTGAAAACTAGAAAGAAAATTTTACTCAAAGCAAAGTAGAGACCAGAAAGAAATATGCTGTCTAGAGTAATGGTGGGCCACAAGCACCCCGATTATGGTTCAGGAGTTCAAAAGGAGGAGTTGGGTTTCAATGAATATAGTAGGGTGGTTCTCCACTTTGATTGACAGATTAAGTTATGAAAACTATTTTCTCCTGCACATGCTTCTTCTCACTATGTATCTGGTTTTAACCACATGGACACTCAACTACGCATAGGCAGAAGACAGTAAGTAGGGGACCTGGGAGCCATTGTTTGCCTTATTGTGTATGTACCACAAAACAGTCTAGGTTGTAACAGCCCATTTCCCACAGTTCCTAGATGCATTAGAGAATGTATTTAAAATGAAACAGACATGACAGGTGGTTGCTAAGGCGAGTAATAACTTCCATTGTTGAAAGCAGATATACATGTAGCCTGATGCCTATAGGGATCCCAGGTGGCCAGCAGGTTGCCAGATGCATTATTAAAAGGGGTGTGTGTGTGTGTGTGTGTGTGTGTGTGTGTGTGTGTGTGTGTGTGTGTGTGCATAGTACCTGTAAGTAAGGAAATCAGGCTTCCAAGTGCATGGCTAGAAGAGGGGCGAGTGCATAGACCAAACCAAGTGGAGCCCTGGGTCACCAAGCTATGCCCTATGCTCACCTGCTTCACTTATGAAGAAGAGAACAGTCTAGACTGTGTCCTGTGTGTCTCTTCCTGCTACCCATCTGTGTCCTTCATAACAAAATAGTGACAGGAAACACAGTGCTCTCCTGTGTTCCTGGAGTTGTAGCAATTACTACATTTGGGGGAAGGGGTGAGAAGCTCTGAATCCGTAGCCACATCAAACAGCTAGTTGGATGCCCTGCAGACCCTGGTTGTGACTGGCATCAGAAGGAAGGGGTAGATCTTGCTCTTCAGCCTATGATGTGAATTCTGGATTGTTACTGTCAAAACCAATTTGTGTTGAGGGACCTCCAGTTGGAGTCTGAGGTAGTATTGGATCGCAGTGCGGTACCCAATTCCCTGGACTTCTCCCGTGGAAAGCCAGGGCAGAAGAAACAAATGCTGCCTCTGACCGACCCAACAAGAAGGAACAGGGAGGCAGACCACGTGGCCCTACATCTTCCATTTACTCTGGAATATTGTCTTACCTTCCCTAGGACCCTGCCCTATAAAACAGGACAGCTTAGAGCTAGACAAAGTCACTTAAGATATATGAATTGCCAGCCCCACTCTTCAGAACCAGAGTCTCTAAGAGAGGTCCCCGAAATCAGATTTGTTTATATTTTGAAGTTTATACAGATGCTTTGCCTGCATATATGTCTGCGCACCACAAATGAGCCTGATGCCTGGAGAGGTCACTTGAGAGCCTCACATCTCCTGGAGCTGGACTTACACACAGGTGATTGTAAGCTGCTAGATAGGTAGGTGCTGGGAACCAAATTTGGATCTTCTTCTGCAAGACAGGTAAGTGCCCCTAACCACTGAGCCATCTCTCCAACAGGGAACAGCATTTTAAATAAGTTCCTTCAGGTGATTCTGGTGCAACCAATGGATAATTGGCCGAGTCACCAACCCCGCAATGGCCGTGGCCCCTGATGATAAGAATAGCTCAACTTCCATTGTGAATTTAAGTCAAACTTTCTGCTGGAGAGACTGGCAACCAGCA